AGGCCATCAGTGGTCCCTTCCTTGAATTCTCTTCTCCGCTAGCTCCTGGGTCCTCCTTGTCCTCTCTGATCACCCCTGCAAGGAAGCCCACCCCTCCTAACGCGGGGGTTGGTGGGGGCGTGGGCTCCGGGGCAGAGGCAGACCCCATCTCCATTGGGCCGCCTCGCGTTAACGGGTTAACCGTAGGCAGGTCGCCTGACCTCCCGGAGCCCGCAGCATGCAGGTCCTCCCTCCTCACCGACTGAAATTCCGGTGCGACCTCCGATGTCTCATCACCACCTCAACCTCCACGTGCTTCTCCAGTTATTCTTCCAGAGTCCCTGCTCCCCCCACCTGCCCCCGCCCCCGCCCAGAACAGGCAGTAGAGGGCCCTCCGCGGAGTGCTTGGCAGCTGTCTCTCAATGGGCAGTAGGTGGCGCTGTCTCCCAAGACAGAGGGCTTCGTTTCTCGCCTCTGAAGGAAGACTGGGTCCGTGACCCAGGGCTCTTGCACATTTCACTAAAAAAAAAAAAAAAAAAAATGGCTTCTTTTGTTTGTTTGTTTCCAGATAATTTATTTTAGAAAAACAAAGGTTTACAGGGCGCCCTCAGGCAGGATATTAGGATTCAAGTAGTATTACCTGTGCTGGGCTGCATATCTGGGGCTTCGGCCAGGCGGGGCATGCTGTGCTCTCTGTTCCTAGAACACATAGATAGGAAGGTGGTCACTGTACTGATGCTGTACTGTGTCGGGAACAAATTGTGTAAACAAGGCTTTGTAACTAACTTTGTGGTTTTTGCAAATAAAAACGCTGTAACTCCTGTAGTCGGCACTGCAGTTCAGCCTCTGCTTCGGCAGGGTGCTGTAACTGTAGTCGCTGGCCAGCTTAATAAAGGCTCCTAAATCTTGATCTGAGTCCCTGGTGGTCGTCTCCGCACTTTCAAAAAACCTTTGCCGATTAGTTCCAAGTGGAAACCTGTTGGCCTACTCTTGACCGCAGACACTTTCAGAAGAAATAGATATTTATGAAAATAAAATGGCAAACCCAACCCCACCTATTAACCGACAATCTTAATATCCAAGAACAGCAGCGGTTTTCCCTGATCCGACCTCCATATCAGATTGAAGCAATGATGAGAATATTTAAATTACCTTTGCAAAATCAGAACAATAACAACACAACACACAGAAAAGCTGAAACAAATAACAAGGAACAACAAAAATCCACTAAAGAAAACAACATATTGTTTTCAATCGGGAGGGAGTTTCAGACTCTGAGCTCCAGATCCGGGCGAGTCTCTAGGGACCCAGACTCAAACGGGAGAAGGGGACTGTCTGGCTTCAGTTGGAACCTGAATGCAGCGTTCTCTCCGTGGTTTGCAGAGGTTGCCAGGACTCTGAGAGGCAGAGCACCTGGGGACAGAACTGAGAGCAGTCATAACTGCTCGCTCCGCCCACCCTGTAGATCCCGGGGCACCTGCCCCGCCCAAGCCCTGCACAGAGGCATTTGCCGGATAGCCTTAGGCAAACGCTAGACTAGCACCGCCCTAGAGATCCAGCACAGAAGCTCTCCCACTGCAGACACAGCTGACTCTCATAGCCAGTTAGCCTGGAGGTCAATTCACCCCCAGTATTGCCGACAACAATCAAGGCTTAACTACAACAAGACTGCGCACAAAGACCACAAGGGGGTGCACCAAGAAAGCATAAAAAATGCGGAGACAAAGAAACATGACAGAAATGGAGCATATAGAGCTAAAAAACGCACTTTTAAGGTCTTTCAATAATTTGCTAGAAACTGCCGATAAACTTGATGAGAGCCTCAAGAAATCTAATGAGACCCTCGATGTTGTAATAAAGAACCAACTAGAAATTAAGCATACACTGACTGAAATAAAGAATATTATACAGACACCCAACAGCAGACCAGAGGAGCGCAAGAATCAAGTCAAAGATTTGAAATGCAAAGAAGCAAAAAACACCCAACCAGAAAAGCAAAATGAAAAAAGAATCCAAAAATATGAAAATAGTGTAAGGAGCCTCTGGGACAGCTTCAAGCGCACCAATATCAGAATTATAGGGGTGCCAGAAGATGAGAGAGAGCAAGATATTGAAAACCTATTTGAAGAAATAATGACAGAAAACTTCCCCCACCTGGTGAAAGAAATGGACTTACAGGTCCAAGAAGCACAGAGAACCCCAAACAAAAGGAATCCAAAGAGGACCACACCAAGACACATCATAATTAAAATGCCAAGAGCAAAAGACAAAGAGAGAATCTTAAAAGCAGCAAGAGAAAGAGACTCAATTACCTACAAGGGAATATCCATACGACTGTCAGCTGATTTCTCAACAGAAACTTTGCAGGCCAGAAGGGAATGGCAAGAAATATTCAAAGTGATGAATACCAAGAACCTACAACCAAGATTACTTTATCCAGCAAAGCTATCATTCAGAATTGAAGGTCAGAGAAAGAGCTTCACAGATAAGAAAAAGCTAAAGGAGTTCATCACCACCAAACCAGTATTATGAAATGCTGAAAGGTATCCTTTAAGAAGAGGAAGAAGAAGAAAAAGGTAAAGATACAAATTATGAACAACAAACATGCATCTATCAACAAGTGAATCTAAGAATCAAGTGAATAAATAATCTGATGAACAGAATGAACTGGTGATTATAATAGAATCAGGGACATAGAAAGGGAATGGACTGACTATTCTTGGGGGGGAAAGGGGTGTGGGGGAAGCGGGAAGAGACTGGACAATAATCGTGCACCTATGGATGAGGACAGTGGGTGGGGAGTGAGGGCGGAGGGTGGGGCGGGAACTGGGAGGAGGGGAGTTATGGGGGGGAAAAAAGAGGAACAAATGTAATAATCTGAACAATAAAGATTTAATTTAAAAAAAAAGAATAAATCAGAAAAAAAAAGAAAACAACATAGCTAATTGTTTACTCATACAGACTCTTCCTTCAACCTCTAGGCATTTGGCTCTTAATGTTCCCACTAAATCAGGTGCTAGGAAGCGTGTGGAGAAGAAAATGAAATTCCAGATGTAATCCACATCAGAGAAGTTCAGAAGCAGCAGCATGGGAGAAAGAGTACAGTAAAACAACCAGAAGGCCTGTCGCCGGGTGCGCTCTGGAACTTTGACCTTTAGAGGTTAGGTGGCAACTTCGCAACTGCAGACGGCCCCGGGCCAGAGGCTGCGCTCGCTCTCTGTATGTCATCACAGGAAGATTCGCCACGGAATTGGGATCTGTTCTACAAGATTCCTTAAGAAACCTACCTTCATTTTTAAGTTTTTTTCTGGAAATGAAAAAAAGCATTTCTACTAAGCTCTGACAACACATTGAGGGGGAAAGCATACCAGTGTGCAAAATTTAAATTTGTTTTGCAAAGAGTTGACAATATCCTAAAGTAGAGACATGTAAAAAGCAAAATATCAATTCAGAAAAGAAGAAATCAAATTATTCCCTTACAGACCATCTGCACATGGTTTCAACAATGGACATGCTGTGAAACACAAATTGAACAGGGGCCGCAGTGCGAGCTGTGGGAAAGGTGGCAGAGACTAAAGACAAAACCGCTGGGCTTCTGTTTGCTGAGACACACTGAGCTTCGCTCTTTTAAGTTTGTTCCTCTTGAGGTCTTTACTCTGATGCCTGACAAAAGACAAACACGTGCCATGATGCACACCTGCCAGTGATGAGCACGGAGCGCACGGGGGATCTGGGCTCTCATTTCTGCGTCATGGGCAGTGGCTACGCTTTAACTTCCTTACTAGACAGACTCAAGCGAGGCGCCTGCATTTACATTGGCTTTTCACTGCAGCAAAACAAGCCTGACCCCTAGGATCCTCTTCTCCCAGAAGAATCCCTCATTACTCTTTGGAGAGGAATTTACTGCTCAAGTTAATAGCAGTTATCTCTAAACTTCATTTAAGAACACTTCATTCTAGTATTTCCTGAAATCCCCTGTGACTGCATATGTGATTTGTTATTAAAAACTAGAAGCCCGGTGCATGAAATTCGTGCACTGTTGGGGGGAGGGAGGTCCCTCAGCCTGGCCTGCGCCCTCTCACAGTCTGGGACCCCTCACTCCTTACCACCCACCTGCTCACTGCTCCTTAGTGCCACCACCGGCTGTGCTTGCCAGCTGTGAGCCTGGCTTGTGGCTGAGCAGCGTTCCCCCTGTGGGAGCGCACTGACCACCAGGGGGCAGCTCCTGCATCTGCCCCCTGGTGGTCAGCGTGCATCATAGTGACCAGTCTTTCTACCAGTCACTCAATTTGCATATTAGGCTTTTATTATATAGGATAAAAAACTCTCCCAAAGAGAAACTTAAAAAAAAAAAAAATCCGGGCATGGTGCAGGTGTGCTGGCAGGTGGTGGCGGTGGCGGCTGGCTGGCCCTGGAGGCCCTGCCCATTGCAGGTGACCTGCATCGAGGCCCTGCTGCAGGCCACGGGAGGGCCCTCGGCGCCCCCTGCAAGCTGCCAGTGCAGCCTGCCCCACCTCGCTGAGCCGCCTGCTGTGTGCCCTGCTGGCCGCCATGCCAGCCTCGAGCTCTGCCTCCTCGCCCTTTCCAGCCCACAGCTGGGCTGGCCATGCCGCTGTACCAGGGCAGTGTGTGTTGGCGGCGTCACCGACTGTGAGTCCAAGGCCCTCAAAGGCTTGCAGGTCGGCCTGCTCCGCAAGGCAGGTATCCAGGTTCGACATGACCAGGACCTGGCTACATGCACCACAAGTTTGCCATAGTGGACAAGGAGGTGCTGATCACCACTCCCTCCACTGGACCACACGAGCCATTCAGAACAATCGAGAAAACGTTTTGATTATGGAGGACGAAGACTATGTGAGGCTTTTCCTGGAAGAACTTGAGCACATTTGGGAAGAGTTCAACCCTACAAAGTACACCTATTCCCACAAAAGAGAAGTCACTGAAGCTGTGCTCTCACTGTGTCTTGGAGTCGGAGGGGAGGGTTTAATGTCAGAACTTCCGGCGCCTCCAGTTGAAACCAGACCAAACGTGCCAGGACCGCCGAGAGCAGCCAGTGTGCTGCCTGGAGCTGCGGCGCTGTGGTGTCCGACTCGGCGTCTGCTTGAGATAAACCTCAACGGCAGAAAAAAATCATTCAGACTAAGTTCTCCTTCACTGAGATACTGACGGGACCTCAGTGCTCAGCCGTAGAAAGGGAGGGAGCTCCTGCCACGATGGGCCCGTGCGTGGACCGAGCTGGGTTTCCCTCCCACCTGAGCCCGCGCAGCCACAGCGCCTGGACGCGCTGGCAGGAGCCTGGCTGGCACCGTGGTTCAGAGCAGGGGCTGCTCCTCATGCCCCCGAGCGGGTGCAGTGCCTGCTTCAGGGCTGCAGCTCTGGGATCCCTCTCCTGAGTCCAGGGAACCTCCTGCTCTGGCCAACTCCGCCTCGTCAGCCCTTTTGGTGTCTCCTGGAATGCTCCCTCCCGCTTTGCACTAGCCTGGCCCCCGCAGCCCGGCCTGGCAGCACCTGCTGTCGCCAGCTCCTCCTGGCTGACGGGCCGGTCTCCGTCAGGAGAGGGAAAGGAAGGAAGTCAGGAGGGAAAGCAGGTGAGCTGGGCGTGGTGGGCGCAGGGAGGCCTCCAGGCCCCGTCCCACCCCCACCCGTGAGCATTACCTGCCCAGCACACGTGGAGGTGTTTCTGTGGGCAGCTCCCTGCGATTTCCACGTGGCCAGGTGTGTGGCCTGCCAGGAAGGGCTGTAAGGGACAGAACCTGCTTCTGTTTCCGTAGGCTGTGCTTTTAATTTTTAATGTTCTCACATCCGAAGTAGTTTTGTTGTGTTTAGAAGTGGCCTTCACTTTAATAACCGTGGACTTTGCTAAGTTGCATTTTTGGGTCCGTGCGATCATCCACGAGTTACCCAGAGAGAAGGCAGTTTCGGGTTATATCTGACAGATCTAGTTTATCCTCAGCGCAGGGTTTACACCCACAGGGAAGTAGGAGGCCAGGAATCTGACATACATTGTGAGATATTGCAGGTTGCTTTATCAGAGCGCGTATCTTTACTGTGGGTGGCTCAGATAGCACCGGGCGGCTTGTACCACCTGTCCTCTCTGCGCTGTGCAGCCTGCGCTGAGGCTTGGGTGTGTGGTTTCTCCTTCCCCGTCGCTCACAGCGCCACCCAGAGACCATGGGTGCTGCACGTTTCTTCTTTCTTAAAGTTACCTTTGACTTATGGTGTCAGGCAAGTAAATGCAAAGTTAATTTTTCTTATTTAATTGAAGCTATAAAGTATACTATGTGGATCAGAAATCACAAGAAATGTTTTTACATTAAACGTGTTTTTATCTGAGTTTATGCTCCAGCAGAGTATGTTCTAGAAAAGGGAGAAGTTGTGCAGTGTCCTGGATGCCCCACATTGAATAAATATGTTCTCATTCTGGAGAAAAAAATACCATTCACCATTGCAACAGAATAAAATAATATGCCCAGGACACACTTAACCAAGGAGGTAAAAAGCCTGTACTCGGAATACTACAGGACGTTGAAAAAAGAAATAGACGAAGATACAAAAAAAAAAAAAAAAAAAAGAAGAAGAAGTGTATACCATGTTCAAGGATTAGAAGAATTAACATCATTAAAATGTCCATACTACCCAAGGCCACCTACAGATTCAATGCAATCCCTATTAAAATACCAACGGCACATTTCACAGAGCTAGAACAAATATTCCAAAAGTTTATATGGAACCCAAAAAGACCTTGAATAGCCTCAGCAATCTTGAGAAAGAAGAACAAATTTGGAAGAATCACAATACCAGATACCAAGTTGTACTACAAAACCACTGTAATCAAAACAGCCTGGTACTGGCACAAGAACAGGCATATAGATCAATGGATCAGAACAGAGACCCCAGAAATCGCCCCAAGCCATTACACTCAATTAATATTTGACACAGGAGGCAAGAGCATACAATGGAGTCAAGACAGTCTCTTCAATAAATGGTGTTGGAAAAATTGGGCAGATACATGCAAAAAAATGAAACTAAACCACCAACTTACACCATACACAAGAACAAACTCAAAATGGATAAAAGACTTAAAAGTAAGGTATCCTATATAATAAAAGGCTAATATGCAAATTGACCAAACGGCAGAAAGACCGGTCACTATGATGCGCACTGACCACCAGGGAGCAGATGCTCAATGCAGGAGCTGCCCCCTGGTGGTCAGTGCACTCCCACAGGGGGAGTGTCACTCAGCCAGAAGCCGGGCTCGTGGCTGGCGAGCACAGAGGCGGTGGTGGGAGCCTCTCCTGTCACTGCGGCAGCGCTAAAAATGTCCCACTGATGGCTTAGGGGAGTGGGACTAAGCCGTCAGTCGGACATCCCCCGAGGGCTCCTGGACTGCGAGAGGGCACAGGCTGGGCTGAGGCCCCCCGCCCCCAAGTGCATAAATTTAGTGCACTGGGCCTCTAGTGAAATTATAAAAATCTTAGAAGAAAGCATAGGCAATAAAATCTCAGACATCTCTCATAGCAATATGTTTATGAATACAACTCCTAGGGCAAAGGACACTAAGGATAAAATAAACAAATGGGACTACATCAAAAAAAGCAACAACAACAAAAAAAGATCCTGCACAGCAAAAGAAACCATCAATAAAACAGGGAGAACATATTTGGCAATGATACATCTGATAAAGGGCTAATATCCAAAATATATAAGGAATTCATACAACTTAACAAAAGGAAGACAAACAATCCAGCAGAGGGAAGGTGGGGAGGGAGGGTGAGTGGGAAGAGATCAACCAATGACCTTGTATGCATATATGCATGACCCATGGACACAGACAATAGGGTGGTGAAGGCCTAGGGCAAGGGGGCAGGCTAGAAGAGGTCAATGGGGGGAAAGGGGTACTTCTGTAATACTTTCAACAATTAGGATTTTTAAAAAACAGGCAGAAAACCTGAATAGACATTTTTCCAAAGAGGACATACAAATGGCCAAGAGACATATGGAAAAATGCTCAAAGTCACTAATCAGAGAGATGCAAATAAAAACCACAATGAGGTGTCACCTCACACCTGTCAGGATGGCTACCATCAACAAATCAACAAATGAGTGTTGGTGAGGATGCAAAGAAAAGGGAACCCTAGTGCACTGCTGGTGGGAATGCAGACTGGTGCAGCCATATGGAAAACAGTATGGAGTTTCCTCAAAAAATTAAATATGGAACTTTCATTTGATCCAGTGACCCCACTTCTGGGAATATAGCCTAAAAACCCTGAAACACCAATCAGAAAGTATATAAGCACCTCTATGTTCATAGTAGCATTATTTACAATAGCTAAGATCTGGAAACAGCCCAAGTGTCCATCAGTAGATGAGTGGGTAAAAAAGCTGAGGTACATTTATACCATGGAATACTATGCAGCAGTAAAAAGGAAGGATCTCTTACCCTTTTAAACATCATGGATGGACTTGGAGACTATTATGCTAAGTGAAATAAGCCAATCTGAGAAAGACAGGTGTCACATGATCTCTCTCATATGTGAAATCTAATGAACAAAATAAACTGATGAATAGACCCAGAGACATAGAAGCATAGAACAGACTGAGATACCTTGATGTGGGGTTGGGGTGATGAGAAGAGATAAACCAGAAAACTTATATACTTATATAGTCCATGGACACAGGCAATAGGGTGAAGACCTGGGGGGTGAGTAAGGTCTGGTAGGAGGGGGTAAAGGGAAGGAAAATGGAAGACATCTGTAATACTATCCTATATAATAAAAGCCTAATATGCTAAGTGTCCGACTGTTCATTCGACCACTCGACCAGTTGTTATGACGTGCACTGACCACCAGGGTGCAGATGTTCTGACCGGTAGGTCAGCTTGCTGCTGGGGTCTGGCTGATTGGGACTGACTGGGCAAGATGGGCCGGACACGCCCTGGAGCCCTCCGTGGTCCCTCCCTGGCCCCGATCGTGCACTGATGGGGTCCCTCGGCCTAGCCTGCACCCTCTCGCAATCTGGGATGTCGGAGAGCCAGTTTCAGCCAGATCCCCGCAGGCCAGGCTGAGGGACTCCACTGGTGCATGAGTCTGTGCACCAGGCCTCTAGTCAACAATAAAAATATATATATTATATATGTCCATCATATGACCAATTACATCTAAAGGGTATAATTAAAACAACTTTAGAAAACTTGAGGCAAAAGACAAGCGATGATGCTAGGGCCCAGGTTTGTATACAATTATGATATAAAAAAACATATTATTAAATGTTTCTAGTCTCCCCTTAAAAAACAACAACAAAAAACAAAATGGGACTTAGAAAAAAAGAAACCAGAAGAAGCATAGGGTTTCTCCAAAAGTGTTCCTCTTTCTCACTGATAGTTTGGGAGAAATGGAAATTATCATAAAAAGGGAAGCCACTGCGGCCCCTGCAGACACGGGGGCTACTTTATTTGCTCTTAGCCACACCCAACTAATTGCTTTCTCCTTCAGAGCAAAGCTTCTGTATAAATGGCAGGAATATTGAACCAACGTCTGTTTTTAAATCAAAACCTGGTTCCTTCCAACTAGGGAATGTTATGGGACAATATGTATCTTTGCTAATCAAATCTGCCCCGATTCATCTGATAGGGTGAGGTTTTTAAAATTCTTTGATGCCCATATATGCTTTTTTCAGAAGGGTAAATGTATTTAGAACTACGTAAATGAACCAGACACTGAACTATGGATGAAAAGGAACCACATGCTAACCTGACTAGCTCAGGGAAGGCCTGCGTGGCAGCCTTGCACACTCAGAGACCTATTGTAACCACAAAGGAGGGTCTGAAATTAAAACCTAAAACTAGAAAGCAGTTTATGGTGGGTAGTCATGTCCTAGGCCAGTATCTTCCCTGACAAAGGTCAATCTTTACCTTAACTGAGCCTATTGTCTTTTTGCATCTACCATAACATATGGTTGGAATGTCAAAGTAATTTTCCTTTTCCTGGACTCCTCAAAGCACAGGCACTGCTCTGCA